CACACACCAGCCAACCACTGGACCCTGCTAATTTAAGACGGGCAGGAAATACCACACTGATAGCGATGGCGTGCCCCTGGTGGAACTCCAACGAGTCAACAAAGCACCACTTGTAAGGAAGAGCAGAAAACTGGCTTTCAAGCCAAGGAGTAGGGGGAGATCCACTTGGTATATGAGATCTGCTGGGATCAGGACCCGCTTGGTCCCTGAGATCTGCTGGGATCAGGACCCGCTTGGTCCCTGAGAGCTGCTGGGATCAGGACCCGCTTGGTTCCTGAGATCTACTGGGATCTGGATCCACTCAGCCTCTGGGCACAGCTGGGATCTGGACCTGCTCGGTCCCTGAGAGCTGCTGGGATCAGGCAGGTTAATCTGTAACTGCTCCTGCAGTCTCCTTCTCCCAAGAGCCTTTTGATGGCAGCATTATCTTCTTCCTGTCACTGCTCAGTCTACGTGTTGCTTTAGCTTAAAGATACAAGCACATCATTCTGCCATCTCACGACAATTGAATTTCAGATCAAAATAACTGAGACAGAAGGTCATGACTGTCTGTGCCGATAATGTGTGCTGTATATAATATTATGTTGTACACTGTCTTTCGATAGTATGTTTTTTACATAGCCTTTATTTATCCCTTCTTTTATTCTACTCCCCCCAAATTAATTCAATTTGATTTATCTTTGCTCTTTTATACAGTTGCAGGAGAGAACAGGGGCATTTCTAGCTATTGGAAAAAACTAGGGGCTGAGTCAAGTTAACACGGGGCTTGACTTTTTGTTGTTTTATTTTGAAGGACGACGGGCATCAGCGGTAAAATACCTAGGGCTAGACTTAAAATACTCGGGGCTGTAGCATCAATGTGTCCAAAGTTTAGGGCAAAAGTTCATCTGAGTGGGTGATCAGCTTTATGTTGCTTAGAGACAGAGGTGGATGTCTGTAAACAGAGGTCAATAGTTCAGGTCCAGAAAGTAAAACTCCAAACCAATATTTTGTTTCTGGTGCAGGCCTTCCTTCCAACATGTGATGCCACACATTTCTGTACCTCAGCCACTTGGTGCAGTGGTTGGCACTGTGGCATCACATCACTGACACCAGGGTTTGTGTCTTCTTCTGGCTTTATGTGCAGAGTTTGCATGCTTTCCCCATATCATTGTGGGCTTTCTTCTTGGTTCTTGCGTTTCCTCCACAATCCAAAACATACTGATTGTAACTGCTACATTGCCCATTGTGTGTGTGGGAATGGTGTGTGAGATCTTGATACAGCAAATCATGATGCTACTACAGTACCACCATTCCTAACCTCTGGCATGAAGCTTGTACTCTGGAATGCATTGTTTTGGATTTTTCCAGACATAACAGGACCCAAGTCAGCCAGAATGTACCTCTTTTGACACATATATCTGTTGCAGAACACCCAAGAATCATGCAGGTCAATTTTGTTATATATCCTAGCTATGCTGCCAAATACCCATTTCTGATGTTGGGGTCATGAACTCCTCAGCAGAGATAAAAGCATTTTGTAGATTCCTGGATGTTGTTCCAGGCACCTTGCAAATTCCTGGATGATTTTTGTAACTTTCTGGACAGATTTTGACAGAATATGCTCTTTTTTCATCGAGATAAAAATTTGCATTTAACATGACATGACGTGGTGACAACTTGCCAGATTTGGCCTAAGGGCCAATCCAAATGTAGCCTGACTGTTTAAGTATTCATACAGCTCTTTTTATATCAATTGATTTGGAATTATTTATGGGTCAGATTTGTGTTTTCAAACCTGAGAATCCATGCACCACTGATGTCCCTGGTCATACCTTTACTAAAAACATGTAAACATTCTGAAAATCAGACAGGATGAAAACTACCCTTGTTATTTGTGGTATTTGAAACTCGTTGTGTGTCTCCATGGTGCCTTTTGCCATGACAACGGTACATTTGCTTGGACACCCTGTGCTTCCAACCTCTGAGCCTCACCCCAGGACCTCTGTCATGTGAAAGAGGCCATCAGTGGGCCCACTGTTGGCTGTAATGTTTGCACCTGCTAACATACCCGGGCAGACAGAAGGATATTGCTTTCCTCCATCACAAGAGAAAGCACATGTCAGATCTACCCTGATAAGCTGCTCCACCAGAACAGAGTCTGAGCTTCCAGGTCTGATATGCTTTGGCATTTTTTGAAACATATTCACAAGATATGGCCTGGCCACAAAACAGTATGATATTGTATTAAAAATATTATAACTGGTGTCCGATTTTGCTTTGTGATGTTATGATTGGCTTCATTTCCAAGCTATATAATCTGCAGTATTAGTGTGAATGTTTTATATGTATGTTTTTATGTATATTTTTGCTAACGGTTTAAAGTTTTTCCTCTGTTCGATTTTATACTCACAAGCAATATGCCAGGTGTGCAGGCGGGAGAATGTATAGCAGTGACCCAGCTGGGTGGGCATTTTGATTACTGATCCACAATTGTATGGATTGGTACATCATCCCGGTAATAGACTATGTTCAAACAAGCTGAAGGCCTGCGGGAAAGATAATGGGGAACGCCATCAGACACTGGCGAGATGACATCCGCACGTTCCACAGTCTACAAGCAAAGGCACTAATGTCTACCATCATGCCGGACTTCCAGGGAAAGTGCTTTCTGTCTTTCAGTCTTCAGTGTTGCTATAGAGAATCAGTGAATCGATGAAGGGGCTCCACTGGTGCCCGGAAGCATCAGATGCTATCGCTACTGTCACATCCTCAACTGTGGTTTATTAAGCAACTTTTGTGCTGTCTCAGGGAATGTGGTAACAGCAGGAAGGGCAGACAGAGGTGTGGAACATTTTTGCTAGGATACAACCCAATTACAAGAGGAACACTGGGACAATGAATTCTATACTAATAATATTGTAAAGCGCTAATTTTTCATTGTGCTACACAAATCTTCAGATGGAGAAAATGATGCATGAACCACTGTCTGAGTGAGGCAGGCCTTGCTATGTGTGTGTGGTGTGTGTGTGGGGGGGGGGGGGGAACTGATCTCCATCTCTGACGCTAGGGTTAATGGGTGCCTTATATACTGGAAAGATTGCAAAACACTGTGGCAATTGCCATGTCAGTCTCTGCCCGCTTGCTCGGAGAAACCAATGGAAATTTCTCAAGATGTCAGAGTCCTGTAACTTGTCGGATTTAAGGTACCCAAGCCTAAATGGACTTCACCTTCATTCTTACATTTACCCCATACTACCTTAAATCCAGGGCCGTGCAGAGACGTTTAAAGGGGCGGGTGCTCAAAGTAAAAAAAAAATAGAACAAGCTGAATAACAACAACTCACATTCATGACGAATCTAATATGGAATTATGTGGATATCCATATTAGATCGTTTTCAGTGAAATAAAAGCCCTCCAGAAAAGAAGGGAAAAGTCCTGTAACTTACTTTAAAACAAAACATGTTCCCTAAAACGGTGGACAGAGCTACAGACCCCCTTGTAACACCCTTACCCAGTTAGCTAGCAGTTAATGACCACCACTACTTGTGCAGTTCATAAAAGGACAGGTAATGTTTGTCGCGCTGTTGCACAAACAGCACGCTCATTTATTTCAATTGATTTGTTGTTATAGACTATAGTGTGCACTGTACACCCTATTTACTGTTTTGTTGCAGTCTGCACCTTCCAATTAATTTGCCTGCTTCTCCTCCAGCTCCGCACCACCCAGCCTGCAGAAAACGCGCGTGCACTTTGCGAGCTCGTACCCGGCTCGTAACGAGCGTGCTCTGCCCTCAAGGGCGAGCATTGGTTAATGACAGTCATGTGACTGATGCAAGCCAGATCCTTTTATTTAGCAAAATTGAGATTAATAGTTACATTTTATTGTTGAGGGGCAAAGACAGGGCTCCATACGCGCATACACATTAAAAAAAACAACAACAACAACAAAAAAAACAAAACAAAGAAAAGGGCACTTGAGGCATCCTGGAGGAAAGGGGCGGGTGCTTAAGCACCCTCCGCCCCCCCCCCCCCCTGCACGTGCCTGCTTAAATCTGACAAGTTATCTGGTTAATCCTGCCCCATGATACAGGCTCCAGGTCAACTTCGGTGCAGCTAATGGGGGGAGAATGTATCATGATCAGTATGGGTCAAAAAGTGCGACACTGCGACATTAAACGTGATGTTTCCGTTTATCATGCCTCTGTGCTGCAATGTTTTTATAGAAAGAGAAACACTGATGTGATCAGCTTAGTGCGGATTTCCTTTTTGATGCTCTGGTGTCCTTATCAAATCTTACATCAAATGGCTTCCCATTTCACTTTTCACATTGCTGTTTGAAATATGTAGAAAAAATGCTCCTTTTAAGATCAAATGACTTGACATCGGGCTCCAAACAGCACAATAATAAGTCAAAATAAACTGAATATAGGCAAAAACATCCATTCATTCAGGGTATACTCACACCTATGGATAATCCGGTAACTCCAATTAGCCTCCGTATGTTTTTGGACTGTGGGGGGAAACTGGAGTATCTGGGGGAAACCCCACAATGACACGGGGAGAACATGGCATCTCCATGCATGGAACCCTGATGGAGACTTGAACCCAGGTCCCAGCAATGTGACATGACACTGGACCGCCAAGCCACTTCAAAGCGAGAAAAAAAATCCTTTTTGCAGTTTTAATTTTAGAACGCTGAAAAAATATAGGGGAAGAACCAAGAAAATTAATCCATAATTCAAGCCGGCATTACTTAGAACTAGTGTAGCTTGAGTATGCTGTCACTTTAAACAAGCTAGCTGATCTTGGAGTAAATAGGTATAAATCCATATTTAATTTAAACGTAGTTCTTGAGTAGCTCTACAGCACTGCTCAGAGGATACAATGTAAAACAAGGAACTGAAATCATAACAATGACTGCAACTGAAATTTTCCAGCATTTATTGACAAGTGAAAGTAGTCAACAGAGTACTCTCATACACTCAATGGCATTTTGCAACATATACTTTATATAAAAAACAAGGGGGGGGGGTTCAAGATAGTAAAAGAGTCGGCTAGAGAGAGAAACAGAGAAAGAGACAAGAATCTTCTTTCATTTTCTTTGTAGGTGAAGCATATTAGGCCATTTTTCATTGAATAAAAAAATATGGTATATTTAAAAAAAAATTATGCCTTGTGCGGTTCTTAAATCAAGCAACTTGCTTAAGCTTGTTAATGAATCTTGAACAAGTTTTCAGGGGAAAAGGCATGGTAAAATTAATAAGTTGTCTAATGTGGCTTGTTTTACCAGTAAACCGGTCAATTATAAGATCTTCTGACTAATTGAGATATATAAGATAGATCAATATAAGAATATACCACAAATTCAAAGAGAGAAACCAGTAAACAATTTTTTTTTTAAAAAAGATAATATAGAGATATTAAAGATAAGATTTTACATATTGGCAAACACATAACGATTTGCAGTGTAGCAAGCATTTTATACAGTTTTATTTACTGACAGAATAAAGGCAATACAACAGAAAACAGGGTTTTTTACTTGTCAAAAGAAAGCCACCCACATTTTTAAAATGGTCTTTATAAATTCACTTCAGTATCACCAAAAATTCCATATGCATATAAATTTGCATGACAAAATACATATCAACAGATTTGAGATTTGAAGAGCCAGGAGCTACACTATTTGTGAAAAAATTTGGTCCAAAATCTTTAAAATTTGGGTTGTGACTAAGGAAAATGTGGGTCTTGAATCTAAACCAGTTCAAGACCACTGACTTAGTACACGCATCTTAGCTGTTCTAACGATTATTTCAACTGTAACTTGTTGCATGTAGTTCTTTGAGTTCCTTTGCTGTGGGACTGGTAGAGCTTTGGTGCTGTAGAGGAGCTTATCAGTGTTCACATGCTGCTGTAAGACCTCAAGCACAGGTAGGTACATCTTCAGAATATGAAATGAGTAATATCCTTTACAGCCTTAAACTAAAATCACTTTTAATATGACATGGTTTCCAGGACATGTGTGGAAGACAGAACAATAGATTATTCTCACAGTTTACTGCAATAAATGTGAATGCAAATGTCAAAGTGATGACGTGTTTGTAACTGTGACCTCACTGTCTGTTTCCTTTGTGTCTGTATTAACAAGAACTTTGTCTTGATGAAGAGGAAGTAGAATTATTAATTTCACAAAAGAATCTGGTACAGAATATATCTACTTGGCCTCAGTTGTGATCCTTGTTGGCAGGATTGGCATCGCGGCCACTGGAAAAAAAACTCACACTGCACAGCTGCACTCAGGTTCTCATCCCTGAGGTGGTTTGCCATGTGATGGGTGTGGCAACGCACTGTATCAGTGCATGCTCCTTACCTCATTCTAAGTGAAGATATTTAGGTCAGATAAAACACTTAACCCTAAGTCTTAGCATCTTTTCAACAGAAATCTCCATATTACACTGTGTTTCCACCTTGTCTACCTACCATACGTCCCACAGAATGACAAGAGACAAAACAAAACAACCGTGCTGCAGAGAGTAAGATATGCTATTAAAAATGTTACAAATACAAAGCTGAACCCTTACTTATTGTTTACATTCACATAGCACTATGTATATAAACTGCTGTGTTCCCCCCCACCCCCAGTTTCATGCTGTACTCTGTATTGTAGTCTAAGTATTGTAAAAACCCTCCATTGTCATTCACTATCTGTATGTTACACATGGTCCTTGGGAAATGTTATTTCACTATATACCTGTATATGGATGGCATGACAATACAGCCCACTTGACTTCACTTAATATGACATGACATGACATGACATGACATGACTTGACTTGACTTGATATGACGACTTGATTTGACTTTACTTTTGGAGTCAGTGGGCCAAGTGCTGAACTGATTATCGGGTGATAGAAGTGTTCCCAGAGAAAGAGTATACTGAGTTCTTCCTGTAGGTGGACAGGACCTTCTTGTTAATGAGCCCGTGCTTGAAGAGCGTAGTGAGAAGCTCGTCACGGAACTTCTGCCCGATGAAGGCATACAGGACGGGGTTGACAGCACAGTGCGAGAAGGCCAGGATCTCCGTCACCATGAGGCTAAATGCCACTTGTTGCCTGAGATCACAGGATTCGTCGAGCAGGTTTCCTCGCATCAGGATATCGACGAGGACGGCGATATTGTAGGGGAGCCAGCAGAGTACGAAGGCCAGCACCACGGACAGGATTACTCTCATGGCCTTGTGCTTCTGACTGTTGCGTGATCGGTAAAGCGTGCAGGAAGTGCTGCCATAGCAAAAAATCATGACCATCAGTGGGATGAAGAAACCCACAATATAGCGTAGGAGCCTCATGCTCAGCTGCCATTGCTCCATTTTCTTGCCCGTCACGTTGTCATGGCACACATACCTGGGTGAGCCAGAGGGCTGGAAGGCCTCCTTATGGATGCAGACCGGCAGAGCGAGCATCCCCGCCACCAGCCACACGAGGGCACACACTGCACTCACTAGGTGGCGCTTGTGCACGATCACCTGCGTGGCTTTCACGATGGCCAGGTAGCGGTCAACGCTGATGCTGCCCAGCAGCAGGACGCCGCCGTAGAAGGTCGTCTCCTGCAAGCCAGATGCAAGTCTGCAAAGCGTGGTGCCGAAGATCCACTCGGAGTGAACGTAGACGGCCCACAGGGGGAGGGTCAGGGAGAAGAGGAGGTCAGCCAGGGCCAGGTTCATCAGGTACACATCTGTGGAGGTCTTCCTTCTCTCCATACAGCATATCACATAGATGACAAGGCTGTTCCCCAGCAGACTGACAAGGACCACTATGATGTAGGTGACGGCCAAGCCTGTACTGTTCAAATCCATATTGTTGTTGTGGCAGGGTGCCGCTCCATCGAGATAGTAGTAAGTGTCATTTTCATCCGATGTGTTAAATTCCATGACGACCATACCTGTCATCTGTTGGGAAATATTAAAATATGCATTAATTAATGGCATTCAGTACTAATAAGGGTGACCAGATAATCCACATCAGGGATGATATTTTGAGCTAAAACATGATTTGGAAACTACCAGGATTAAAAAGACCAGGATCTCATTTAAGTGCTGAGTTCTTGCTGTGTGCTGATTGGTCAGTCTCCTATAATCATGCATGTGTCACTAATGGTAATGTGAAACAGCTGGATGAATCTTTCAATCAAGGAAACAAACCAGTAAAAGCACAAGATGAACTGAACTATTTAGCCAAGCGCAGGAGCCTTTCAATTTTAAAAGCATCCGATAATCCCATTTTGGGTGCTGCAGTGCGCATAACAGTGTGTGTGAGTGTGTGAGAGTGTGTGAGTGTGTGAGTGTGTGTGAGTGTGTGTCCTGCGACTGGCTGGCATCCCCTTCGAGGGTTTTGCCCTGTGCTACCTGGCAAAGGCTTCAAGCCCCTTGTAGTGGACAAACTGTTGCATGCTGCCCGTATCACCCTTCAGTTCTAATGAACATTGTACTGTACATTTTTGTCACACCCAGAATGTAATGCTAATCATAATTTAAATTTGCAATATTGAGAACAAGTGCTTAATTTCATATCGAAAACAGTATTATTGTCATTCGGTAAAAATACTCTTTACTCAGATGTAGTTGGTGTGCAGAATATCAGTCAATAACATCATAACTTCCAGAATTTGAAGTTGTTCATTCGTTATTTGAAGAAAAGTCATTGTTGCCTATTTTGATATTGACAAGTACAGTCAGTCAAGGGTCTTTTTTGCTCTAGTGGTCACTCAACCCAGCCTAAACACAATGACAAAGAATGATCTTTGCCATGTTGGGAAACAAGATATTGTCCTTCTCAGATCCAGTAATTGATTTTTGTCTTCTGTAGGAAACATTCTATTTTTATTAGTTAGGGCTTTACGATGATGTTTTCACCATCAACATTTTATTTATAAAACAAACAAACAAACAAAAAGTTAAGTAACACTTTTATTCCTGGATCTCAGGAGGATATGGGAACAGATGTGATACGTCTGACTTTCGTACAAATCTTTCTCATTTTGAAAACAGGAAAGAGTGTCAAATACAAAGAAAGGTTGACGCGCACGTTTGCATACCGCAGAACGGCTCGGGAAACTGCTAATTTTTTAACTATTTTTGCATCAACTACCAGTAGACATTAAATGATAAGATCTGAACATATTCCGGAAAATTCTCACTGAGCAAAATCTAAACACGAGCCAGGTTTTTTAAAAATCGTACTCCTCTGTAGAAGTCTTCAGAAGTATTAACACAAATTATAATCACCCCTTTGGAACATTACAATGCAGGACGATAAGGACACACGCCACGGTGGGTAGTTGCACAATGTTTAGCGACACGCAAGGATCAAACAGGACCTAGACAGCACCATATTATTTTTTCAACGCTGAATTATAGTTAAATGCGTTGAATTATGGTCAGTGTCAAATTATCAACGTTGAAACTGAATTGAGTTTTGGACAGATTTTCAATATTGAAAAATTGATGGTGGCAAAACCGATATAACCGATATGATGATATAAAGTGAAACATTGAAGATAAACGTTGTTTCAGCCTTTCTGTCTGATATGGAATCAATGTCATTTCAACATATGTGTGCTATCTGGGTATTCACACATGACACAGGCAAGGGCACACACGACAATTGGGAACACAAGTATTAACAATGGCACAAAGGAGGGCTATTTACAGATATCTTCCGGCAAGAATTAAGCATCTCGCTGGCGCTACAATATACTGTACTGCAGATTAAATCCTTCTGACAATGTTGCCCATTCCTCTGCACATGTTACGCTAAGCAATACATCTGCTAACGTCCTGCTACGTCCAATTTCAGGAGTCTTTCGATCATTGTATGTTATTTAATATGGACCTTGTAAATGCGATCCGACTTGACTCGATCTGGGGTGAAAGCTTCACTTGGCGGGGCACAAATAATGCAGGTCTGTATTATACTTATGTATTATGTATATATGAATTAACCGCAAACTAAATCTTATAATTACTTATCGATCCCATGCTAATTCATTATTAATGAATCGTGCCGCATGTTTTATCTCAAGCAGTTGCTGCATTTGTTACTATATCTTTTAATTCTGTGAACTGCCGAAGGAAGTACTGAAGGAACAAGTAATCAATAACACGTGAAAAAAATCTCATGTTTGTTCATCATTAATGAATCGTGACACATGTTTTATCTCAAGTAGCGACTACATTTGTTCATTGTTTGTATATGATCTGTACTTCAGTAGTAGCTGAGTTATTGCTAAGTATTTATGCCCGGTCAGGAACAGTATTACCCGATCAGGAGTAACTCGACATTAGACTGTATAGGGATTCTTATAGCATTTAGCCTACTGTGACATCAGTCAAGACATTTGTGGACTGAAGGGAGGGAGGAGGTGGCATAGCTCTGCATTTCTCAATGGCTGCGTGACTGACATTTCGGACAAATATGCTAGTCAAACTAAACAGCTCCAGTTTCAAACAGCATGGTAAGGAAAACGCAGTTTTCTCCGGAAACTCCGTATCATCATGGAAGTGGCCCGCAGTCAGCAGTTTGACGAGAGATTTCCTGTGATGTGCCTCTGGAGTCGTGTCTGTTATTCCTCAGAAACCCCCGCAAAGTGGGGGTAGAATAACAATATAGAGGAGCCAGCAATACAATCTGTAAGGTGCTGGCATGGAAATGTACCCCCCCCCCACACACACACACACACACACACACCATTTTTGTGGGGTTTATTTGAGCTTTGTGTATAATGGCAATCCAAACAAACTCAGAAATGAGAGGATCCTCTCTTTGGCCTCACCAGTGTGAATCCTAATTGTAAGGATAAAACGACAAAGAATTATTTCTATCCTAATTGGTTATGGCTGAATAGCGGCGAGCAGAGGGTATATCACAGAATAATTGCATTTGCATGTTTGCAAGAAATAGATATTCCGTCACCCGCACATGGTCCTGGGCTGACAGACCGACCTCTCAACACCACTCTGCACCATGCCCCTGCTGAACTACTGCATTGTTTATAGATCTGTATACTGCTTATAACTGCTTATATTTGCTGCGCTGCTACTTTAAGCATGGGCAGTACTTCCATGCAGTAATTTAACAGTGTAGTCTACTTCATTGTTTGGTGGAATGTTTATGTTGTGCTGTGTTACACTACATTATGTTAGGCAATAGTTTCCCTTCTGTCTTCCCTCCTCTTAAATTATTGATAATTGTACAGGAATGTTTTGCACTATGTTTGCACTATTATTCCATAACTTTGTCTTTAACACTGTATTGTCTGGCCTGTCATGTTGCACTACGGGTTCAGGAGGAACATTATTTCAGTTTAACTGGCTTTAACTGGCTTGATAGAAACCAAAAATACATCAGTGAAATTTATAAATTAACCATATTATCAGTTATGAATAAGTACAGAATAGCACCAAAGCCTATAATCAAGATGGGTGTGCTTTCATTTGTAGTAGAAACACTGCTCAAAGTTAGTCAATTGAAAAAATGTATACCTAAAAACATTGCAAAAGATGATTCTGAAAGCTATTTTTATGCAAACGTTACTTACTTGTCTCCCAGACGCCCGTTTTCAGAAATCAGAATGCAGTGTAAAATAATGAGTTTTCAGATGAATGTCTTTCCAGATACAGTATGAGGCTGAACTAGGTGAACTCCTAGTTGCTTTTAATCACCTGGTGCACTTCTGCTGCTGCCTCTAGCCGATAGGTCTCTGTAGCTCCTAAGTTGTGGGTCTTTTAACCACCATAAGATAATTGCAGGCTTCCTCAATAACGTGACTGATAAAAGGAGGAGGCGCAAAAGAGATCTAATCACTGACAGAAACTAGTAACTAAGTCATAAACATGGTTCATTGAAAACATGTTTAAATTCATTGCTGGACTGCTAATATGTTTCCGATTGCAGCTAATTCATGTGTACAGTACACTGTGATTTTACATTGCAAGCTGAAAATCAGTGTTCGGTTTTGCTATGACAATAGGCAAGCTGGGATTCCGGAAGACGCTGCTGTTTAATTGTATCTTTGACCTAAAAGCCACCAGGCGTCATAATGTGTAAAGAAGAACTTTAATCCAAGTTCTAGTACTTGAATTCTGCAGAATATAGGACTTATCTTCACAATCATCTGTGTTTAGCAGATAGATAGAATAATATAACAATAACAAGCTGAATATAACTGTTTTTTTTTTTTGTAATTGTCCTCACAATTATTAATGTACACGGCAGTTTGTTGGGTAGCAGTGTTGCCTCACATCTCCAGGGATGGGGAGTTCAAATCCCTCCTCCATCCCGTCTGTGGAGTTTCCATGTTCTCTCCATGTCATTTGTGTTTCCTCACACAGTTAAAACAGTTGAAAGACTAACAAGTTAGACCAATTTGCACCTCCAAATTCGCCCATAGGGTGTAAGTGTGTGTGTGCCCTGGGATGGACTGTCACCTGTCCACGGTGTACTCAAGCCTCGTGCTGTATGCTGTCTGGGATAGGCTCTAAACCCCACCCCTACCCAACCTCTCAGGCCCCCATTACCCTGACCAAGGTAAGCACTTGGTAGATGAATAGAAAACTGCACTTGCACTCATATAAAGGGTTCATATGGTATACTATTTAAAGGGGCAAAACAGTCCAAAATAATCAGTGGAAAAAAACCAACAATTTAAAACAGGTCTTTCCACTTTCCAAGTTAAAATCGTCATTATCTATAATCTATATCAGTGTTAGTAAGCTTTTCAGTTGCAGCGCCTGTGAGAACGGTTGCGACAGATAGCTTTTAAGCCCCTCAACTGATAAGCGACTGTTATCATTTGCACCGTTATTTTTTCGATTTTGCATGCCTCGAAATACACGCCTTCCGCAAAAACACGCAGTGAACCACCGGAAACCACAGGAGGGCAGCAAACACCATAGTAAGGACACAAAGACGTAGGTGGTTTGTCAAGTTCCTGTTTACTACCCCTGTAAATTTATGTGATCGACAGGAATATTTTAAACCGGTATTTAGCTTAATATGAATCATTTCATTTTATTATGACTAAGGAATTTGTAAGCAAATTATAATATGAATTGCTTCGTTTGCTATAATAACATAAGATAAAGATAAGATAAATAATTAGGTAGATGCTACTGTTTATTTTGTAAATTCAAAAACAATTAAAAAAATAAATGTATTTTATATATATAAATCATTTAAAACATTTTTGAAAAGTCAAAATACGACTAATACAGAGAAAAAATCACTGCTTCCGGGAAGTGAGCTAAGAACCGATGGTTTAGAGTGATTTGACAGCTCAGCATATCTCGGTTAGAAATCTCTCAAGTTCAAACCTGATATAATCTCTTTTTTCTTCAACAAAATACATATCCTATTCATATATAAAGTTTCATCTTCTAATCCAGTTGCGGGCATGATATACATGATTTCTTTTAGTTATCCACTCAAATTTTAGCAAATAAAAATAGCATATATAAGGTTTTTAATGATGCACCCACACACGTTGCTACTTAAAATGAACACTTACACACAGTACCGGACTAAGGTCATGTGTCACCCCAGGCAAGCTTCGTTTCCAGTACCCCCTGGCTGAGACAAAATGAAAATGTCTTGCTATTCCAGCACCATCCCAGAAGATGGCGCCCTAGATGGCCGCCTACGTGGTACCATGAGTTGACGGGCACAGCTTGTTCAGTGGGGTGGTCCCAGGGCTCTTACATGAAGGCGGCAGCTTCTGAGGTCTGGGAGGTGGACCTGCTAAATCTGAGGGAGGAGGTGCGCTCCAGTGTGCCCCATCTGTGGAACAGCTGCTGCAGGTTTCTCCGGAACTTCTCCCCGACAAAGGCATACAGCACGGGGTTGATGCAGCTGTGCAGCAGCGCCATGCTCTGGGTGACGAACAGCGCCGTGTCCATGGATTGCCGGGCGCTGCAACTGAACTGCATCTGACCAATGTGCATCAGCGTGTCGACCATCACCGTCACGTGGTGCGGGGCCCAGCACAGCAGAAAGGCGGCCACCACCGCCAGGATGACACGCATGGCCCGCTGCTTCCGAAAGCTGCGAGTCTGCAGGAGCCTCACCACCGTCACGCTGTAACAGCTCAGCATGATGGCCAGTGGCAGCAGGAACCCCACCGTGTGCCGCAGCAATCGCGCCATCTGCTGGAAGCCTTCGGCACACACCTGCAGCTTCGTGTCAGGTGACTCGAAGGTGCCAGCGTTGGCCGCCGAAGAGATAGACAGGATGGCCCCGGCGGACCAGACGCCAGCACACACGAGCCGGCTGAGCATAACCCAGTGCTCCTTCCTCGCCTCCATGGCGTGTACAATGACGCGGTAGCGGTCCACGCTGATGCAAGCCAGAAAGAAGATGCTGCAATAGAAGCTGAGCTCTTGGGCCATGTTGGTCAGCTTGCACATGACGTCACCGAAGACCCAACCCCGCGTCATTGACGTCGCCCACAGAGGCAGGGTCAGCGCCAGGAGCCCGTCGGCCAGCGAGAGGTTAAACAGGTACATATCAGAGGGTGTCAGTGCCTGCCTGGCAGAGACGATGACCAGCACGACGAGGGCGTTCCCTGGGATAGCTAGCAGGAAAATCAGCACGTAGAAAACGCACATGAATACGTTCACTTCCGGCGCGATGCCCGTGACCTTACAGACGGCATGGCTCAGATTGGCCGTGAAGTTCTCTTCGTCGTAGTAGGAGTCATTGTAATACTCTTGGAATGGGACACTGAAAGATTTGTTTATCTCTGTTTGGGACAAAAAAAATACATATTTAGGTGATCGTTTTCATAGTTTTCATAAATAAATTTGAAAAGTATTCTAAAATTTAAAAAAACTGTAATTTCAGAACCATAACAAATGCATTGCAAAGCTTCAGAAATATATTTCTTTTTCCCTTTTTTAGTTAAACTATTTTATGTCTACAACTGCTTAAAATCTTAAGTGTGAAATGTACTTTCTCTGCATAACCAGAAATAATAATTTATCATTTTCACGTTCAGCTTGTTTAATGTCTTCTACTTCTGCTTAATAAAGAAATTCCTATAATATGTTTTTAAAAGGCTTTGATGGTGTAATACAAGCATAGCCATTCACATCTAACAATATTGCAAGAAATTAAACACATAGTCTACAATAAAAAATTTTTTACATTTGAATAAACCAAATAGAGAACAATATGGAGTGTCTCTTACCATCCATTCTGCCTTCGCGTTCAGTCTAATAGATCCTCAGCATCACAACTAGTGTTTCACTGACCTCAGGAAGTGATGATGTTTCCTCTTAGTGTAACTGAATCTGAGCTATTGGATCTGGCACTTGTTGATCCCTCAGGTCAAGCTAACTTCCTCTCTGATGATCACAGTTTCCCAACCATTGCTCCCAAAAGGTCTTCAACTGCCATCACCCTAAATATCGGAGCTCCTGTTACATTCTCAGAATATCTCTGCAGCCTTTGCAACTTCACATGTCTCCTCCTATTGTAGGTAGTAGTGTGTTAATGGTTAGGGAAGCACACTTGTAACTGAAAGATTGCTGGTTTGAATCCCTGACCAGCAAGGCACCACTGAGGTACCCTACGCAAGGTACCTCCCCCGGGTGCTGAATTAGCCGCCCCCTGCTATGTCACAACGTCACATATGGGTTAAATACAGAGAACACATTTTGTTGTGGTGTGTCAACAATGACCACTGATCACCAAATTCTAAATATTAACTAAACTGGAAGTGATCATAATAGCTGTCTAATATTGACATTTATATAATTTACCTCTGAAACTGGACACTATACATTACAATATTCTATTTTAAAATCATTAAAAAAATTTAAGCAATACTTTTGTTATGCAGAAATTCCTATGGGAGCAATGTCATAAGCAAGAATGAGGTTTTTGTTTGTTATTTTATTTTCTTATATCCATTCTGCCTTCCATTCTGATCATTGTAGCCACTGCTGGACTCAGCTGCTCTTCTCATGATTTAGTGCCATCTGGGGTGCCCCCTTCATATAAAGTGACTTAATGAGTGCCCTTCTACTGGAGAAAATGTCAAGCAGTGCCCTATATGGTGGCCTTTGCAGAAGAGAAAATGGGCTGTGATGCTGTAAAGGACAGCATGTCCGGGGACTGGTTACGTTGCACAAAAATTTCACTGATTGGTAAAATAGCCTAGAGAGGTGTGGGGGGCCAATTTCTAGCAGATTGATTGGCAGATTCACCATTTCCATTTTTTTCAGAAATGAATAGAATGCACAAACATGACAGTTCATAAAATATTAGGGAAATTGGAAATTGACCAACCCCAGCATTCTGTGGCCCAGTAGAATACTGGACCGGAATCAGTACTGGTCCAAGAACCGGGGGTTGAGATCCTCTACTGTAAGAGTATTCCAATTCCTAAGTGACCACAAAATATGATGACGTGCCCAAATAAGTACCCCTCCAGTGGAGAAAATGTGACGCAGAGCCATATAAGGTACCTATACAGTTAGGGTGCTTTCACGCCTACAGCATTTGGTGCGCACCAAACGTGTTTGGTCCCTTGGTTCGGTTCGTTTGCGTTGATGTGAATGCAATCTGGGTACTTTGGTGCGCACCAAATCAATCGATCTGAGACCTGCCTGAAGGGGTGGTCTCGGACCGCTTTATCCGCTCTACTTTGGTACGGTGCGTCTGGTGTGAAAGCAACCAAACCAAATCTGACGAAATGGTATAGTTTAATGCACTTTGGGTATAAGAGATAGGGGGTTGTGGTTAAAATTTCGTAACAAGCCTATGCCTCTCTGTATTCACATTAAAGATGAAAAATGTGTGGCTGGGCTGTTTTGATAGGCCAACAGAGTACCTGATGAAACTGCAGGAAGATCGCCGGCTAATAACAAAATGATCATTCAGGAGGAGGGCACGTCTCTTCTCCCTGAAGTGGCGCGCAATGCGCTGTCGGCGAGATGAATAAACCAGGAAGCTGGTTTGGAGTCGCAGCCGCGAATCGTGTTCGAAATTAATTATCTGAAAATAATGATTTTCACGTACAATGTAGTGCGCGAGGATCAGCGCCATGACCGCAAAGCAAAGCTGTTCCTCCATGACTATTGAAAGTGGCGCGATTTTCTGAAAATAGTCTGTTCCCGGTGCCGATGGGCTTCGCGGTCTATTTTGGTTCGTTTAGAACTCTGCATATGTGAAAGCAAACCGTACCCACGTCTGTTTACTACATTGTAACATTTTTCTGACTGGTGCGGACTAAAGCAATCGTATTATAGGTGTGAAAGCACCCTTAGTTACGCCTGAGGGGCCGTCTGGGTGCTTCTTTGACTCAGGGAGAACCTTCTTAGTGCTCTGCCACGTGAGCTTACACGAGTAAGTGCGCTTGTGATGGAGAGGAAAATATGTCTGATGGCTGTCCTAACAATGAAGAAAATGAGATATGGTGTCCCATTATGGGATCTCTGTACACGTGATAATGCTCTTTCAGCATATATAGCGTATCATTCTACTTGGGTCAGGGGAGGATGTCCTTTTTATCTTTTTGCACCTGCCCTTCAAACAGTCCACTCTAGTCTGCCTGCATGTTGGAGAATATGTAGAAGATGTCAGACACTGATCCTACAGAACATGTTTTCTAAGCTGTAAGTACTTCCAAAACTACCTATTCTCACCCTGACACGTGACAAGTTCTCCTTTCAGAACCACTTTAGATACAAACTAAAACCTTCCAGCTGTAAACATGTTTTGCAAACTAGGATATTTGGCAAGTAGCAGAACTACCCTTACGAAACCTTTCAGAAAACTTGTGTCTTTTCCCATAAACTGTGTTCCGCCTTCCGATGTTGACATATCTATGTGTGAAACACAGGAGGAAAAAAACCCTCCCCTTTTCCTTGTTGTCTGTTTGTCGCACCCTGGTCCTGTGGGAATGTTATGTTGTGCAACGATGCACCTATACATGGATGGTATGACATTCAAGCCCAGTCGACTTGATTTGACTTGTAGAAATTATTGTTTGCTGTCTTAAACAGCAATACTAAACAACTGTATAGTTAATAATGACTACCAAGGTATTTTCTTGCTGGTATATGGCATTTCTACTACTAATAATTCATCTTTTCCCCGTTGCTCATTCTGAGAATCACTAGTTGAAAAGCACATCCTGCCTCAAATGCATGATACTGTGTGCAAAATAAAACTGGTGAGTAAAAGGAGTTATCTAGCTGCCTCCCTCGGCTTCGACGGGAAATGCAATACAGGCAATAATCAATAACCTTCTTTTAGTATCATTAAACCAAATTTGTGAGCTTTATGGCATGTCTTTATATATTAATCCAAAGCCACATAACTGTAAAATAGAAAATGGAAGAGTGGCAGGATCCCCTGTGAGCTCTGCATTAATTCTATTATTTAACCAAAATGGAGCTGCATGCTATGCAGGCTGCAGATTAACCGAGCAGAGATTCATTGGCTTTTGATGAGTCAGATGCATAATGATCTTGAAAAAGATAATGGTTATGCCATGGTGGGCCATGGCGCAGACAGACATAAGGGGGGACGACACATTTGCAGCTTTCAGACAGAAGGGGTTTACTAATAATACTGAACACAATGGGGAAGGCACAAAATAAAAGGACTGTGAGGGGTCAAAACAAAATGGGACAAATATGAATGCAACAAAAAGTTATGAAGCAAATACACGGGAAACTGAGCAACACAGGGAACAGGACTGAGCAGCAGAACAGAGTGACAAACCTACAGGAACCAACCATTACTGCATGCAAAGATCAGAACAGACACTTAAAACCACAGCTAACAAGACATTGCAGGACAGGTGAGATTCATAACCAGTCAGAGCATGTGAGCGGAGCGGAGCGGAGCGTGAGCGAGGAGCGGAGCGGGCGGAATTTGGTCAGAGCGCGGAGCGGGTTTTCTAATTAAGACTGGAGCGGTCGCTTTGTCTCGCTCCAATTTCGCTCCGATACCGCTCACACTACAATTCTGAGGCGTGCCCAAATCTACCCAGAATTCATCTGTACAATTATCAAGACTGTTAAATCATACAAGTGTACTATTCTTATCAAACGTATAGATGACAAGAATGTACAGCAAGAACAACAATGTGGTGAAACTGTTTCAGTGAGTAAAGATTCACTTTGGAATCACTTTTCTCAGAAACATGAGTGTGCTACGCGAACAAGCGGAAGCCAGAGCAAAACGCGTGCAAGTTTTATATGGTTGTAGCATATCAAGTCTATAAAGTAAATTAAAGTATAAAAGCCTATAAAGTAAATATTGGTAATCAAATAAATTCGTTTTGTCATTCAAAGTATGTCTAATAAGATTTTTTTTTAATTTCACGTAACGTAAAATTTTATTTTAGAGACGTGCTGCATCAACAGAAAAAAATTGAGGAATTTAAAACGTGTCTGTATATTCTTTAGGCTATTAAACCCACTGATTCCTTTATTTTTAAGCCTATTTTTGTGTGGAATGCCATTTCCAAACCTGTCCGTTGTTGCCGATAGGTTGCTTAAAAATAAATATTTTCTGTTCTGACTGGCAATGTTGCCGTTGCTCATATTTCTTTATGACATAAGGCTTCGGTTTAAGGTGACATTTGTTAGGCATGCAGATTATTTGTACCTCTTTTAAATTGGAGCGAGCGTGGAGCGATTTGACTGGAGCGGGAGGACATTTTAGTGGAGCGAGGAGCGGTGTTGAGCGGAGCGGCTTAGTGCGAATTAGAGCGGAGGAGCGGGCGGAGCCAACAGCCTTGTGAGCGAGGAGCGGAAATTCTCCGCTCCGCTCCGCTCCGCTCACATGCTCTGTAACCAGTTAACCAATCACAAGGACTCAGGGCAAACAAGGAACAGGTGTGGCATATTACAGCTAAACAGCACTGGAAACTATGGAAAATTAATAAACGCTAAGGATTAAACAATGGATAAGTGAGCGAACAGGGGACAAGGAGCAAAAGGCAAAGAAGCAACTGAAATACAAAAACACCAAAAACAAGAAAGCACTGATAACCAATAACAGTTGGGAAAACCCAAAACAAACAAAATAGACGAGGCTTGCAGCTCCTCAATTTGAATCACATGCTCAGCCCACTGAGCTATGCAGCACTCAGGGGAGCAGGGGAGTCACATAAGGGCTGAAGGGTGAATGACAGGGAGGAAGACGACACTCAGAAACCATTTTCTGTCCCCACTAGATGGAACATCCACATTTTGCATTTTAGCAAAGGTTACCTGAATATCATTTTAATGCAATTAATGTTAAAAAAAAATATTGTTTTATTATAAAATATTATTTTATGAAAGTGCTCCTAGTGTATACTTTGAACACACCATCCAGCCTCGAAAGCACAATCAAAAAAAGTGTGGCCAGTTGTCTAGCTTAACCTTTTCCAAACCTTAGTTGTAACATTGGGTAAACCTTCTTAGAACAAAACATTGTTAGCGGGAATGGCAGTGCACAATTATATTTATTAAGTGATCTTGTTATTTTTAAATGAGATAGTCCTGGTGTTTGCCTGTAATGAAAGCAAAGCTTTAAGTGCCTTGGTGCGGATCAAACAGCTGCTAAAAACCTCTGCTTTTGTTGGCA